CCGAGAGGCCTCGCCGCGCGGTCTGGCACCGCGCGGCGTCGGGACCCTGGATAGGGGAACAAAAAGTGGCGTAAACATAAAAACTCGGAGGTCCGCGCGGATTCCTCGGATCGGCGCTGGGCCCCCCTGCGGCGCCTCCGGCGCCGCCCCTGGCGCGCTCCGCGCGCCAGGGAGGGGTGTCCGCCGCAGATCCGAGAAATCCGCGCGGACCTCCGAGTTTTTATGTTTATGTCACTTGTGTTCCCCTACTGGAGGCCCCAGTCGCCCGGAGGCCTCCTCGGAGCACGCCCAGAGCCCCGGGCCGTGCGGTCACAGCGAGCCCCCACCGACTCAACACACAGGCCCTCCCCTGGTTGTCTGGCTTTCGGGCCATGTCGGGCCACCCGCCACCGTCCTCATCCTCCTCCTCCTCCTCCTCCTCCTTCTCCTCCTCTACCTCCTCCACCTCCTCCTCCTCCTCCTCCTCCTCCCTGGCACATTGAGGCGGGGAAGTATGCCAAGGTGTGTCTGGTAGGGGCCCTGGAACTCGAACAGGGGACGGCCCCTCCCCCGACCCGCAGACTCTTGCGGGCATCCCCCTTCTCACCGAGGCCACTGCCCTCGTGCCTGCTCGAGGATGGTGCACTTCCCGCACGGCAGCTGATGCATAAGCCCCTATTCCACGCGTGTCCGCTCGAGGATGGTGCACTTCCCGCACGGCAGCTGATGCATAAGCCCCTATTCCACGCGTGTCCGCTCGAGAATGGTGCACTTCCCATGTGGCAGCCAGTGTTTGACACCCCATTCCACGCGTGCCGCTCGAGGACGGTGCACTTTCCGCATGGCAGCGAGGCCTGGACCTTCATTTCGTGCACGCCCGCTTGATCACGTGCGCCCTCTCGAGGATCGTGCCCATCCCACATTCCCGGGCGATTCTCCAAAGCGCTCCAAGGCCTCCCAAGCAAGGAGCCCTTGTTAAACAATAAAGATCTGCCTCCCGAGCTTTCAAGGCGGCTCGCACAGGCAATCAAGGACACCCAAATGGCCCAAGATGTCTCGAAGACGGCCCAAAAGGGGCCCAAGGCGCCCCAATATTGATTCAAGATGGCCCAAGAGACCTCCCAAAGGCCCCAAAATGGCTACAACAGAACCGCCAACAAGGTCACAAGAAACCGACACCACTGAATCGCTGTTCTCCCGTGGGTTTTCAAATGATTATCGCAATCTCGCCTTTTCGGGCTGCCATCAGCTCAACACGGCCCAAAAGGAAAAAGACCTCCCGTGGAACACAAGACGGCCTTAGAAGGCCATTCCACAGCCCGAGATGGCGCCAAGACAGCCCCACGACGGCCCCCAGACACCCACCATACAACCAAGAGGGCCCCAAGACGGCCCAACAGAGCCCCAAGTTGGCGTAAGAGGACCCCAAGACGGCCACAGAGGACCCCAAGGAACCCCCAAAACTGCCTCACAGAAGGCCAAGACAGCCCCAAGACGGCCCAAACGAGTTCCACCACCATCATCATCATCATCATCAGCAGCAGCAGCATCGTCATCATTATCATCAGCATCAGCATCATCAGCATCATCATCAGCATCATCACCACCATCATCATCACCCATCATCATCAGCATCAGCATCATCATCATCATCACCAGCAGCATCATAATCATCATCATCAGCAGCATCATCATTATAACCATCACCATCACCAGCAACAGAAGCAGCATCATAGTCATCATCTTCTTCTCCATCATCACTCATCAGCAGCAGCAGCACCATCAGCATCGTCAACCGCATCATCAGCATCAGCATCAGAAGCGGCATCAGCATCACCAGCATTATCATAGCATTCATCATCATCAGCATCATCAGCACCATCAGCATGGTCACCATCATCATGAACATGATCGTCAGCATCATCATCGTGTTCATCATCACCACCATCACCATTATCGGCATCATCATCGCCATCAGCATCAGCATCAGCATTAGCATCAGCGTCATCACCAACAGCATCATCAACATCGCCGACATCAGCATCAGCCTCAGCATCATCAGCATCAGCAGCATCACACTCATCAAAATCACCAACATCATCAGTACCATCATCAGCGTCGTCATCATTAGCGTCGTCATGATCATGATACTCATAATCGGCATCATTACCATGATCATCAGCATCATCATCCTCGCTATAATAATAAAGTTCTTCATCCGCAGTGTCTTAATCATGGTCAGGAAACAACGTCATAAACATCGCCATCTGCATCATCATCGTCATCATCAGAATCATAATCCGCTTCGTAAGTATCATCCGCTGCATCAACCTCATCATCATAGGTATCATTGTCATCATCATCAGCATCATCAGCATCGTAATCATCGCCAAATTCTTCATTTTCCGTCGCCACCATTGTCGGGACATCATGATACGCATCGTCAGCATTATCATCATCGTCGTCGTCGCCGTCGTCGACATCATCGTCATCAGCATCAGCATCATCAGCATCATCAGTGTCATCGTGATCGGCGTCGACGTCATCGTCATCAGCGTGATCATTATCATCATCGTCGAGGTCGTCATCGTCATCATCATCACCAACACCACGACGACCACAACCACCACCATCATCATCGCCATACCATCATCATCATCGGATCATCATCATCACTATCACCACACCATCATCATCGTCATCGCCATCATATTTACCATCACAATCACCATACCATCATGATCATCGTCATCGCCATCATCATCAGCATCAACATAATCATCATTACCACCACCATCATTTTCATCATCAATATCACCATCATCATCACCATCCCCCCGTCATCATCGTCCTCATCCTCACGTTCATCGTGATCGTCATCATCATCAGCTTCAGCATCACCACCATCATCACCACCATCATCATCATCACCATCATCATGAACTGCAGCAGCATCACCATCAACATCGTCATCACCCAATTTATTATCATAATCCTCATCATCTTCATCGCGGCTCTGCCAACCCTCGGGACACGAGGTGTGGTACACGTGACGGGCTTCTGTACCCCCGTCGAACAGTCGACAAACCAAAAGCTTGCCTGGCACGGTGGCGGGACTTGCCGCAGGTAGCTGGATCCGCCGACCCCTGTTGATTCATCACAGGGGTGAGTGGCGTGCTAGATGATCTCGGTTTTGGTTCTTTTCCAGAAGAACTCCCCCTGGGGCTCCAGCGCATCCCGCCGGCCACCCGAAAAGACTGCCCAGGATGCCGGGAGCCGGTTGCCAAGGGTTTGTCCGTTCCAGACGGCTCCAAGATGGCCAAAGCCTCCAAGACGCCTCCAAGACGGCCAAGATGGCCTCCAAGACGGCTAAGATGGCCCCAAGATGCCTCCAAGACGGCCCAAGATGCACCCAAGACGGCCCAAGATAGCCTCAAAATACCTTCAAGAAGCCTCAAATACAGCCTAAGAGGCCTCCAAGAGGTGCTCCAGGAAGGCCCAAATATTGCAACATCATAGATTTTCCTCAGGTTTTTGAAAGATTTTTGTACTTGCCCCTTTTCGGCTTTCGGACGGCACAAGACGGCCCAGGAGGCCTCCAAGATCGACTCAAGATCGCCCAAGGGGCCTCCAAGATGGCCCCAGAACAGCCCAAGAGGCCCCCAAGACGGCCCCACCAAGAGGGCCCCAAGCCCGCCCAAGAGGCCTCCAAGACGCCCAAGATGGCCTCCAAGACGGCCCCGAAGCGCCCCAAGAGAGCCTCAAGCCGGTTCAGAGAGGCCCCCAAGACGGCTCCCGACGGCGGCCCAAGACGGCCAAGGAGGCCTCCAAGATGGCCTCCAGGAAGGCCAGAAAAGGCAAGGTTTTGGAAGATTTGGACATGTGCTTCTTTTCGGCCTTCCGACGGCCTGAGACGGCCAAAGAGCCCCCAAAGATGGCCCAAAGATCGCTCACGAGGCCTCCAAGATGGCCCCAGAACAGCCCAAGAGGCCCCCAAGACGGCCCCAAGAGGGCCCCAAGACCGCCCACGAGGCCTCCAAGACGCCCAAGATGGCCTCCAAGACGGCCCTGGAGCATTCCAAGAGGGCCCCGAGTCGGCCCAGAGAGGCCCACCAAACGGCTTCCGACAGCGTCAGGCGGGCCAGGAGCCCACCAAGACGGCCGAAGATAGCCCTAAGATGGCCCAAGACGGCCCAAGAGGCCTCCAACAGGGCCTCCAAGTAGGGCCGAAAAGGCCAAACTCATTGATTTCCCAAGAATTGTTGAAGGATTGTGACATTCGCTTTTTGTCTGCCTTCCGACGGCCCGAGACGGCCCAAGTGCCCCCAAAGATCGCCCAAGAGGCCCAAGACGTCCCCAAGAGGCCCCCAAGACGGCCCAAGAGGCCTCCAAGACGCTCAAGATGGTCTCCAAGACGGCCCAAGAGCCCTCCAAGACGTCCTCCAAGAAGGCCCAAAAGGGTTAACATGGCCTCCAGACAGGATGACCTTCAAGATGCCCACGTGTTCCCCGAAGGCTTTCCAAACCGATTCGGGGAACACATGGTCCGACAGCTTGGCAGGCCTGGCCTCAACATTCGGCCACATAGGCACGTCCACAAAGGCCGTTGGCGGTGGTGATTCGCCGTAGGCGTCTTCGATAACTCGGGCTTCTGGCGGCCATTCGGGACGATCAAGGCACCACGGGAACGTCCTCGACGAGACGTAGCTCCTGGCAAACATCCCGAGGCGAGCGAGCCTCCAAGAATCCACCAACACGTCCAAACGTGAATGGGGGGATCCTGAAAGACCCGAAGCGCCAGACGACAACAACCGTGGCCAAAACAGAAGATGAGGGGCGGCCGCCTGGGAACGCGACGGAAGGGGGGAGCCCTCCTCTCTCGCCCCTCCTCTCTCGTCCCTCCTCCGCGCTCGGGACGCGCAGCACCTCGCGCGCGGCGCGGGCGGCCACGGGCTCCCCACGACGGACCCGTGAGGGCGGCCACGGGCCGATGCGGGGGGAACAAAAAAAACGGCGCGATCCTGGAAGCCGTTGCTCTGAATGTTGGCCGAGCCCGCGCCACACGAGGCGGCCACGCCGTGCTCCTCGGGGCGACGGCGCGGCGGGGCCATGCAGCGGCCAGCTCCCCTGCACTTGTTCCTCCTGCTGTGGTTCTTCCTCCTCCTTTTGTTTCCTCCTCCTCCTCATCCACCTCCTCCTCTTCCTCCTCCTCCACATCATCATCATCATCATCATCATCATCATCATCATCATCATCATCATCATCACCATCACCATCACCATCACCATCACCATCATCATCATCATCATCATCATCATCAGCATCATCATCATCTGACCCTTTCTTGGTACGAAAGGCAAGAGCGAGGTATAATTCCTGAGGGAAACGAGGCGGCTGCAGCCGACCCGGGCGCGGGAAGAAAAGAGCAGCGGCGGCGGCGGCGGCCAAGAAGAGCGAGCAACACGGCCAGGGCGGCCAGGGCCCACGAAGGAGGGGTCCCCAAAGGGAGGGGCAGAAAAACAAAGGGCCCTGACTCACTCAGGACACGTGGCCGAACGTCGGCGTATGTTGCAACGTGCAAAGCCCGTCGGCATGGGCAGCGGCACGTTCGGATCCCACGTTGCCAACGGGATCTCGAGGATCTGGCCTAGCACCCCAGGCCGGAGTTCCTGGACTCCTGCACGAAACCCTGAGCCAGGAGTTCATCAACTGGGGCGGAGTAAGCCTTGGCGGACGACGTAAGCAATGACCCGCCAAGAGCTTTGGTTCGAAGCACTATGTGAGCGCCTCTGGGAAGACAGCAGTTCCCCCCTCCAGTGCTGCTGATGATGGCGTCCGCAAGGTGATTTAAACGAACGGGAAGGAGCCGAATGGGTTGACGCTGGAGGCTCCCCAGAAACATTGGTCCAGGCTAGCGGCCCTCAGCCCCCGTAGTCCCGACCCCTTCCCCAGGGCCAGCCCTTCGTTCGCATCCGCCCGTGGCCCTCTTGGGCCCGACGGTGGACCCCGGAGGGCGACGTCGAGGAGAAACGCCTGGATCGAAAAGCCATGCAATCAGAGACGAGACGAGACGAGACGAGACGCGCGTGTCCGCCGGCAGGCGGGCCCCTTTGGAGCGGCGCGGGTGGGCCGGGGCCCGGTCAGATGTGCGCGTGCGCAAGGTAATCCTTCTCCCAATTGTTCCACAATGTTGTCCGGTCTCCAGCAACATCCAACCACGACGTGGTCTTGTCCCCAGTGGTAGCTCGTACAAGTTGTGATAGTTACATGCAGTCAGAGATCGGGATCCTGCTCGCTGTCTCCCCTCCGGGGCTGCCTGGTGCGGGGAGGCGGGGGTGGAGGTGCCGGCCGAGAACCAGACCCTTTCGCCTTGGGCAGCCCCACGTGTGCCCTCGCGCACCAATACTGCGCACCGTACAGGGCAGTCTTTGACACATGGGAGTTTAAACTATACATTATTGATATATATATATATATATGTATATACATGACAGATGTTCAATACATGAGCAGTTTGTGCATAAATTCATGCATGAACTCATCGTTGATTTCAGTACTAAAGCCCTGCATTTTTCATACATGATCCGCACACGGAGCATGTACCAAAAACGGCACCGTACCCCCGTCGGACCTGCGCAGTCGACGAAGTCAGGTCACCCGGGGGGGCAGGACGCGGGGGGCGGGCGGGCCCGATAATGAACCCGTGTTCTCGCAAGACCCTGGAATAGGGGGAAAACAAACCTACCTCGCTTTTGACCACCCTCGCTTCCAAGAGATACCAAACGACGCCAAATTGCAGCCTGTACTGGTCAGGCCGCTTGACGAGGAGGCGCGTGGTATGGCTTGGTTTTGCCTGGAAGCGAAAGCGGGGTAGGTAATTCACGCTCTGATGGAAGACAGTCTCTAAGGCGAAGCCAAGACGAGGAAAAATCTGGTGAGGCAGGCAGGCAGGCAGGCAGCTCCCAACTCGCCCCGGAGGGCGGCCACGCGCGGGGCAGGGAGGAGGCGCCGTGGCGCCGGTCACTTAGTCGACTGACACATATGATTTACCAATCCGTTCCCACTCGGACGGATTCCCTGCGAGATGAATCGTAAACCTCTGAGATGCCGGCGGCTCAGGAGGATGTCTCGGGCGCCGCGGTCTTCCCCGAGAGTTCCGAAGCGCTCTGAGAGCAATTACAGGAACGCTGTGGAAGGCATTCTTCCTCTCCCTTAATCGATTTCCACAAACCTGAGTCAGTGCTCCCCTGGTTCTGCAGGATCCTGCAGGGTCCGAGGCTATGGCTGACCTCTGGTTGTGTTGACCCCCAGCTCAAGGCTCCCGAAAAAAGAAACTCCTGGCAGTGGCCCTCCAGCCTGCGGGTCACGGCTATGCCGACACTCTGCGAGCGGGGCGCGGCCAGCGAAAGTGGCCGAGGATGGGCCGAAACGGAAGGACGCAAGGATAGGCTTAGTCGGGTCTGTTTCCCTACAGGGGGATTTTGGGCGAAGAATGAAAAATACTAAAATAACAAAAAGAAGAAAAAACAAATCGTCAACAAAAAAAACAAAAAATCGTCCAAAGACTATTTCTTTACTATTTTGGAGTATCCCACTTGTAGAGGGACAGGCCCGACATAAGGGTAGGCTTGGAAAGTCGCTCATCCTTGCTGTGCGGGTTGACTGTAACGCTGGACCCTCAAAAAGCAGGTCTTCCGGGTGGCCACCCGACGTGCGACGCCCTCGCAGGAGGAGCAGGAGGAGGAGGAGGAGGAGCGGGAGGAGGAGGAGGAGGAGCGAGGAGGAGCGAGGGGGAAGGGTGATGAGGAGAGGAGCGAGGAGAAGGAGGAGGAGTAGGAGGAGGAAGAGGAGGAGGAGCGAGGAGCGAGGAACGAGGAGCGATGAAGTGAGGAGCGATGAGGAGCGAGGAGCGAGGAGCGAGGGGGAGGAGAAACGAAGAGAGGGGAGGAACGAAGAGGAGCGAGGAGGAGCGAGGAGCGATGAGAAGGACGAGGAGGAGGAGGAGGAGGAGGAGGAGGAGGAGGAGCAGGACGAGAGGGGGAGGGAAAGGAGGAGGATGAGGCGGAGGAGGAGGAGGAGGAGGAGGAGGAGGAGGCTGAGGGCGGCGAGGGGCCAGGAGAGGCCGGACGGAGAGGAGACCGAGGCACCCCCGGGGTGAGAGCACCGACGGGGCGCAGGAGTAGAAGGCCGAGGCTGGCGGCGAGGAGGAGGTGGCGAGGGAGCGCTGAGGAGGTGGAGGAGGAGGAGCACGCGGAGGAGGAAGAGGAGGAAACAGACGGCGAGGAGACGCAGGCTGCGGCCGCGGAGCCCCGGGAGCGCCGAGGAGGAGGAGGAAGAGGAGACAGCCCGGGCCGCCGCCCCCGCTGCCGCCCCCGCCGCTGCCTCGCCGCCGCCCCCGCCACCGACCGGCTGAGGGGGCCGGTGGACGGGGGCCCTCCCAGGGCCCCTCGCGGCCGGCGCGGGCGCCGGTCCGCAGGGAGCGCTCGCCGAGTGCCCCGGGGGTCCCATCGGACTCGGGGACCCCCGGGGCCCCGCCCGCGGAGGAGGAGGAGGAGGAGGAGGAGGAGCGAGGAGGAGGAGCGAGGAGTTCGAGGAGTTCGAGGAGGAACAAGAGGAGCGAGAGGGATCGAGGGGAAAGGGCGAGGAGGAGGAGGAGGAGGAGGAGGAGGAGGAAAAGCGAGGAGCGAGGAGCGAGGAACGATGAAGCGAGGAGCGATGAGGAGCGAGGAGCGAGGGGGAGGAGGAACGAAGAGTAGGGAGGAAAGAAGAGGAGCGAGGAGGAGCGGGGAGCGAGGAGAAGGACGAGGACGAGGACGAGGAGCACGACGAGAGGGGGAGGGGAAGGGGAGGATGAGGCGGAGGAGGAGGAGGAGGAGGAGGAGGAGCGAGGAGGAGCGAGGAGGAGGAGCGAGGAGGAGGAGGGGGAGGGAGAGGAGGAGGAGGAGGAGGAGGAGGAGGAGGAGGAGGAGAGGGGGAGGGTCGAAGAGGACCAGGAGGAGGGGACAGCGGGAGGAGAGAGGAGGAGGAGGAGGAGAGGAGGAGGGAGGAGGGGGAGGAGGAGGAGGAGGGGGGGGAGAAGGGGAGGGGAGGAGGGAGGAGGGGAGGAGGAGGAGAGAAAGGAGGAGGAAGAGGAGGGTGAGGAGGAGGAGGAGGAGGAGGAGAGGAGGAAGAGGAGGGAGAGGAGGGAGGGGGGAGGAGGAGGAGGGGAGGAGGAGGAGGAGGAGGAGGAGGGAGGAGGAGGAGGAGGAGGGAGGAGGAGGAGGAGGAGAAGGAGGAGGAGGAGCAGGAGGAGGAGGAGGAGGAGCGGAGGAGGAGGAGGAGTGAGGGGGGGGGAGGAGGGGGGAGGGGGAGGGAAAGGGAGGGGGGGAGGAGGAGGAGGAGGAGGAGGAGGGAGGAGGAGGGAGGAGGAGGAGGAGGAGGAGGAGGAGGAGGAGGAGGAGGGGAGGAGGGGGCGGGGGAGGAGGAGGAGGAGGAGGAGCGAGGAGGAGGAGCGAGGAGGAGGAGGAGGAGGAGGAGGAGGCAGGAGGAGGAGGAGGAGGCGGAGGGAGGAGGCGGAGGAGGAGGGAGGAGGAGGAGCGATGAGGAGGAGCAGGAGGAGGAGGAGCAGGAGGGAGGAGGAGGAGAGGAGGAGGAGCGAGGGGGAAGGGTGATGAGGAGAGGAGCGAGGAGAAGGAGGAGGAGTAGGAGGAGGAAGAGGAGGAGGAGCGAGGAGCGAGGAACGAGGAGCGATGAAGTGAGGAGCGATGAGGAGCGAGGAGCGAGGAGCGAGGGGGAGGAGAAACGAAGAGAGGGGAGGAACGAAGAGGAGCGAGGAGGAGCGAGGAGCGATGAGAAGGACGAGGAGGAGGAGGAGGAGCAGGACGAGAGGGGGAGGGAAAGGAGGAGGATGAGGCGGAGGAGGAGGAGGAGGAGGAGGAGGAGGAGGAGGAGGAGCGAGGAGGAGCGAGGAGTTCGAGGAGTTCGAGGAGTTCGAGGAGGAACAGGAGGAGCGAGAGGGATCGAGGGGAAAGGGCGAGGAGGAGGAGGAGGAGGAGAAGCGAGGAGCGAGGAGCGAGGAACGATGAAGCGAGGAGCGATGAGGAGCGAGGAGCGAGGGGGAGGAGGAACGAAGAGTAGGGAGGAACGAAGAGGAGCGAGGAGGAGCGGGGAGCGAGGAGAAGGACGAGGACGAGGACGAAGAGCAGGACGAGAGGGGGAGGGAAAGGGGGAGGATGAGGAGGAGGAGGAGGAGGAGGAGGAGCGAGGAGGAGCGAGGAGGAGGAGGAGGTCGAAGAGGAGGAGGACAGGAGGAGGAACGGGAGGAATGAGGAGGAGCGAGGGCGAGCGAGGAGGAGGAGGAACGAGGAGCGGTCCTGCGCGGCCAAGCTGCGGCGGAGGGGGATGGACTTGCTGCCGGCGGCGGCGTCCTGGCTCGAGGCGCAGCTGGAGCCGTCGGCCGCGCACGCCTCGTCTCGGGACGCCCGCACGCGCGCTCGTCTGCCATCCGCGCGGGGGTCCCCGGCTGCGAGAGCGGCGCACATGCACGGCACGCACGGCGATCCGATCGGCGGCGCGCCGAGGGGGGCAGCGAGAGTCGTGGGCGACAAGCTGTCTCGCAACCGCGGCCTCGCGGCCAGGCCCCTGGGCCGCGCCCCCACAAATACGGGGCGCGAGGAACGTATGCGTACGACCGCGAATCCGCGGGATCGCGCCCCGTAGTCCAGACCGCGAGGGCGCGAGTATGGACACGTTCGTCGCTCGCGAGTGAGGGGGCAGGGCTGCTCGAAGGGCGGTGGGGCTTCTCTGGAGAACAAAGAGCTGCATAGACATAAATTTTCCGAGATCCGCATCTCTTGGAGCAGCGCTGACCCCCCCGGCTCTGGCGCGCGGAGCGCGCCAGGGGCGCCGGAGGCGCCGATCCCAGAAAACCACGCAAAGCTTCGAAAGCTTATTTTCATGCCGTTGTTTGTTCTTCGGTTCTCAGAAGCCCCCTGGCCTTTTCAGAAACCCTCTGCGTCTTCGGAGAAGACGCAGGAGCTTATCAGAACCCACCCGTCTCGTTGGCTTCGACCGTCCGAGCGATGCCCCCGCTGCGTGGACAGGCGCCCATGCACTCTACGAGGCTTCGAGGAATCCAGATATCTGACGATATGGCAACCCGAGCGTTGCCTTTTGCTTTTAGGTCGGGCGTGTCCCCGCAGGGGGAATTTGAACGAAAAATTATGACACCAAGATTCCAACAAAGCTCCAACATTGTCAAAAACAACCGTCCCCTGACTATGTTGTACGATGTTTGAACATGTTCCTCCTGGTGAGGGGGGACAGGCCCGACTCAGCACTGCTCTCGGCCTGCGGGGCCCGCTTCTGGGGCCGAGGACAATCAAACAACGCCTGGGAAGAAGCACCAGCCTGGAGCATATCCCCATCCTTATGCTGGGCACCTCCTCATCACGATGCCAATCTTAGGGACTCCCTTGTTTTTTGAGGGCGAATCCCTAATATCGTCGTCGCCTTTTGGCGTGTCAACCTTAGGGATAGGGATACGTTCGAGGCTGGTGAAAGAAGGGTCGGAATCTCTGGGGCCGCGCACCGGAGAAATCAGACCGTCCGATGCCGGGGGCTCTGAACTCAGCCCCTGGCTCAGTTTAGCAAAGGCGGCCCAGGGGTGAGTCCTGTTCCTCCTCCTCCTCCTCCTCCTCCTCCTCCTCCTTATCTCCGCCTCACCCTCCTCCTCCTTCTCCTTCTCCTCCTCCTCCTCCTCCCCCTCCTGGTCGTCGTCGATGTCTTTCAGGGTCGGAGGCACCGGCAGTCAGGCCTTCGCAATCAGACCATCCGATGTCTGGGGTTCTGAACTCAGTCCTTGGCTCAAATCGGCACAGGCGGGTTGGGCGGGATTGCAGCAGCGCTTTCCCACCGCCGCCGCCAGATGCCTCAAAGGCCCCACGGGAGCCGCTCTGACAGCACACTGCGAACGGTGCACCAAGTAGGAGTCTCGGAGGAAACGCCATACGTTTTCCTGGGAGTTCCTGGCCACCGCAATGCGGCTGCCTGCACACTCCCCAGCGGTAGGGCCCCACAGCAGCCCAGGAGGCCGATGCAAGGCGGCGAGACGGGCGTCCCGTCCCAAGTCGCCAGCCTCGACTGCAGAGGAAGGGGCTCCACATCCAGGAAAGCAACTCTTCTATGATGGGCCTGTTTTCCACCACCACCACCACCATAAGCTGGAGGGGTAAGGAGGAGGAGGACGGGGAGGAGGAGGAGGAGGAGGAAGAGGAGGAGAAGGACCCCCTCCCCCTCCAACTCATGGTGGTGGTGGTGGTGGAAAACAGGCCCGTCATGTTATGAGGGCTCCTGCAGGGTTCCATGACGATCCTATAAGATTCCATAGGACCCTATTGGATTCCATGGGGATCCTAAATGATTCTATATGGGACACTATAGGATTCTCTAGGATGCAGTGGGGACCCCATAAGGTTCCACACGGATCTGATAGGGTTCCACACGGATCCCGGAGGATTCCACAGGTGCGTGCGAATCTTCGTGGGCGTCGAGAGCCCGCACTGCACGCACGCTCGTGACAGGCGGCTGGCCTCGCGGACCCAGGTGGTCGTCTCCGTGTGCGCGGCTGGGCGCGCACGTCCTCTGTGGGCTCCCTGCCCCTCGGCGAGGCTCCAGGGGCCTTCGCGGGACGCTTCCCCGAACTCCTCCTCCTCCTCCTCTTCCTCGTCCTCCTCCTCCTCGTCTTCCTTCTCCTCCCCCCTCCAGCTTCTGGTGGTGGTGGTGAAAAACACGCCCATCAGCGTGTGGCCGTGCGGCTGCAGCGCGCACCATCATGCGGGGAGCGCCGCGAAGACCGGCCGAGGAGGGGGAAGATGGAGCGCGACCACACAACTGCACGCTGCTCGGCCGCAACCGCCGTGCTATTCGCAAGGTCGCCAGGCAGACTGAGATCCCTACGCGAGCCGACCTGCGAGAATTAGGCAATCTCGTGCAAGGAACCGTGGCATGCAAGGAAACGTGCCGCATTCGAATCACACACGAAGCGAGCGCCGCTACAGCCGAAACGCTGTCATAAGGAGCCCTAAACAAAGAACGAGGCTCCTTGTTTCCATAAATTAAACTTCGATCTCGCAAAGAACTCCTAAGAAGAACCTAAGACAAGCCGTAAAGAAATTAGGGAACACTGAGCCCCTCCCCAGCGAAAAGGGTTCCTTCTTCAGCGGCCCGACTGTAGAGGAACAAACAATGAGGGGGAGGAGGAGGAGGAGGGGGAGGCGGAGGGGGAGGAGGAGCGCACGCGATAGAGGGAGAGGCGGGTCAGCAGCAACAGCAGCAAGAGGAGGGAAACCCAGGTCCTCAGCGACGCGACGCCCTGAGCGCTGAGCTACCAGGGGGACGGGGAGCAGGAGGAGCAGGAGGAGGAGGGAGGGGGAGGAGGTGTAGGAAAGGAGGAGGAGGAGGAGGAGGAGGAGGAGAGGAAGGATGAGGAGGAAGTGGGGAGGAGGAGAGGAGGAGGAGGAGGAGGAGGAGGAGGCGGGAAGGCGGAGGGGGGAGCGAAAGGGGGCAGGAGGAGGAAGGAGGGAGGAGGATGAGGAGGAGGAGGAGGAGGAGGAGGAGGAGGAGGAGGAGGAGCGAGGGGAAAAA